CCTACAGAATAATTAAGAGGACACGACAGGAAGCAGCCCAAGATGTGGAAGAGTTTCCTGTCGAGGGAATCTGGGTTTGAGGTCTAGCCCTGCCGCTAACTAGCTGTGTCTTAGGCCCTCTCTCACCTACTCTAGGCTCCCTTGTAAATGGAAAGGTGACTGGAGATAGCTCTAAGCCTCTTCCAGTGCTACTGTTCTATGATTCTGCAGTAAATGTGAAAGCCCCAAAGATGTTTATCTCTGGGGAAAAGAGACCCATTGTCAACGGCAAAGTTGTTATTTGAATGCACAGCCTGTGGCTTTCTATCGTCTTGGACAGAAATTTATGGAAAATGGCCATGACAACTGGGGAGTAGGGATACAGGCCTCCAAAAAGGCATGTTCCCCAGCGTCTGTCTGAACTTCCTTGTAGCTCCGATAAAGCTGTCTGCTAACTTTAGGAAGGCCTGCCAAAACTGACAGCTATTTATGAAATAATTTACCTTGGATGGTGGAAAAGCTCACGGTGGAAACCGCAATCACACATACATCCTGTTTGCATTTCTCCGGGCACGACCGTTCCACTGGCTGGCTGGGAGGGTGGTGCAGGGGCCGGGCAGGGCGGGCCGCTCCTCCTGAGCCACAGAGGCAGGCCGGCGGAGCACCAGCCCATCCCTCTGCAGTCCTGGAAAAGGCACCCCTGCCCTGGAAAGAGAAGCAGGACCAGGACGGCTGGGGTGCGATTCTGATTGATGCTTTAGTTACTGTGCCTGGAATCATTCACTTCCCCTCCTGCCACCCCCCACCCCCACCCCCACTGCAAGGCTGACATAATAGGGGCCAGAGACACAGATCCAAGCAGAGATGCAGAGACATAGTGGAGACGGGAAAACAGCTAAAAGGCCAGACGTTAAAAAGGCATCGCTTCCACACAGCTCTGGAGACGGGGTACCTTGACAAGTCTCATCTCTAACCTCCACCGTGACTCACGTCTGCAATTTCGTCTCCAGGAGAACCTCTTCTCTTCTCGTGGTTCTTCCAGACGGAGCCTCACAGCACAGCCAGCGCCGTGCTAGGGGTTAATACGCGTTACCCGTGGCATTTTACCCCTGCTGATCGCCCGTGGATGTAGATATGCTTGTTTCGCAAAGGAAGGCAGTTCAGAGAACTTCAGAGAGTTGCCCCAGGTCAGAGAGCTCTTCTTCAGAGCCTGCTAAGGCCCAGATTCTCCAAGGAGAGAATCTGAATCTCCCATTCAGCTCCGGGAGGGGAGCTTTGCACACCAGAGGGAGGTAGAGGTTCCCTGGCACGGCCCTGACCTTTGGGCTGAGGACCTTGGGAAGACCAAGGACGGCCTTGGACCAGAGCAGAGAGCATGACCTCGGATCTGACTGAAGGGAGGAACTAGGGGCCCAGACAAGAATATTTGAAACTGGAGGGGCCTCAAGTTCAAGGCCAGGGGTTCTCAACAGAAGAGAGAGTAGGGAGGCAAGAAGGGGATGCCAGGCTGCATACTGGGGAAAGACCCTGACACCAGCTCCTCAGGGGCGCGAAGACCCAGCCCAGCCCCATGCTCCTACGCATGGGGAAACTGAGGCCCAGGGTGGGAAGGAGGCCCCCCAACAAAGGTGTACTCGCCTGGGGTCAAACTATCCTGAGGGCAGTGTGCATGTGAACTGTGCACGGGAGCTGGCAGACCGGACACCCCGAGCCAGAAATGGCTCAGGGTTTGTCCTCATCCTCTTTTTTCGACCTTGATGAAAATGGTGAACACAGCAGAACTTCCACTTCTGCCCCCCGTACTTCAGGCCCTTCTGTCATTTCTAACAGTGATGAAAGGTCTTCTTCCCCATTCACGGAATGGCTCGCTCACTCCCCAGCTCCGGCTTCTCTGCCCCATTACTGTTTCCCAGGCTGAGGCCCAGTGCCTAAATCAGGACAATAAGAGGAGAGGGGAGGTGGGCAGAGAGAGGTCCAAGAACCAGTCCAAAACCAACACAGAGGGGTCCTCTCCCTACCTCCCCTCCTCTCTCTTGGGTCTCCTGGGAGGATTATGTGCAGGACTGGGCAGGGGCGGGGCAGGGGCTGTTTTCTGGGGATTCCATAGGAACCCGGGCGCACCTGTGCGGGCCCGGAAGAAGGAGAGTGTAGGTGTGGGCCTCCATCCGGGACACGGCCTCCAGGAGCCCTGGATGTGGAGACAGGCGGAACTGCGAGTCCATTTCAAGCCGTGCCAGATGGATGATGGAAGACTGAGGCCAGCGTTGACCACCACACCTCTAGTCAAAGGGATCTGGGTCCCGGTCTCGGTTCTGCACTCCCCCCCTCCCCTCCCCCAAACACTGCTGGGCACCCTGGGCAAGTGCCTGGGCCTCTCCGAGGCCTCTTCCTCCTCAGTACACCGAGTAGGATTTAGCAAATGTTTAGCGAATACTGCGCCAGGTACAGGAGCATGTGGGAAAAAGCAGTTCCTGGCGGGGAGAAAGAGAACCCTGTTAATCAAATTTTCACAAATTTCACACGACAGTGCTAAAGGGGACAATAATACTCCTGGGGGTGTTTTGTGGAACGGATTAAATGCATCTGAGGACACAGAAGCCTTCAAGAAACCACAGCCCCTCAGATGGCATCTCGGGGAGCCGAAGAATTGGAAGAATACTTTTTTCTTTGTCATGCACTTTAAAGTCTCCAAAGCAGTTTCCACACACAGGAGCTGGTCCAGGCTTTCCAATAACCCTGGGAGGTAGGTGCTTTATTTCTGGAGGAGGCAACTGAAGCCCAGAGAGGTTAAGTGACTTCCTCAAAGGCCCCAGCAAGGAGACCAAGGACTCAACCTTGGCGCGTGAGTCGGCGGCTGGTTTTACACTCACTCATTGTGACAGGGAAGAGCTGGGAACCACTGTGAGCTGTGGGTTAGGCGGAGATGGGAAAAGGCCGGCCAGGATGTGCTCCGGAAAGGCTGTCTCCCCCCCCCCCCCATACGCCCCCCCCCCCACCCCGCGGCCGGAGGCTGCCAGGGCCTTCCTTCGGACTGCCTGGGATACCCGGCCCCCGGGGCTGCGCGTCCTTCCCCACCACCACCACCACCACCACCACCACCCACCCCCCGCCCACGTTCCCGCTTCCGGAGGGGTCTGGGCCAGCCTTCTCCAGAGCCCACGGGACAGTCAGTACAACGGCTTCCTGCCCCCTGAGCGCGTCCCGCGGGCGACCAAGCTCCAGGGAGATCCTGGTGGGGGCGGGGGTGGGGGTGGGGAGTGGTGCGCTCCTCCGTCTTCTCCGTTCCCGCAGGGGCGCCCGGATCACTTTCACGGTGCGCCCCCCAACGCGTCGGGAGCTGCCACCCCGGCCCCTCTCCCTGGCTCCTGGGCGGCGGGACCGGGACGCGGGGGTGGAGGGACTGGAACCCGAAACACGGACTGATGGAAAGCAAGAGAAGGCCTGCGGGGAACGACATCCAAGGCCGAAGTTCCAGAATGGAACGGGGTTGACGAGGGGTCTCCACCTCCCCACCTGTTCGCAATGTAGCTGCTTGGTGGGGAGTGTGCACGGCTTCCCTGCCCTCCCCCACCCTGTCTAAAAGCCCTCCCCCCGACACCCGCCCGACACACACACACACACACACACACACACACACACACACACAGGGATGCGGTCGTGGACCGGGCAGGAGGTGGGGGCGCAGTTTTCAGTAACGCACCTGACTCTGAGCCTAGGCCTCCTGGTCTGTGAAAGGACAATGAAACGAAAAGACTTCTAAATTTTAGAGCCCTGCAGGCAAAGTGGGTCCTGTAGCCATTCGCGGGACAGTGGCACGCGTGGGTACCTGTGCCGGTGTCTGGGTCTCCTTCCGGCCCCACCACCAAAGTGAAGGCAGACGCACCTCTCACCTTGCTCAGGAGAGAACATATAGTCCCTGTCGTTTGTACGCACTCTACAGTTTGTAAATCCTCCCTACAAGGATTTTACTTCAACAGTATGTGAGTCAAACTGCCTGGGTTTGAGTTCAGCCTCTGCCGCTGCCTGGCTGGATGAACTGGATGAACTTGCACAGCTTGCTCACCTTCTCTGTGCTTAGTTTTCTGGTCCATACGTTGGGGCTAATACAAGAACGCACCTGGCTGAATTATTGTGAGGATTAAGTGGCTGACACGTGTAAGGGGCTTGCTCCCGCCACCACTGTTGGCAGTTACGATTGAGGCCCTGCTGTGTCTAACTCAGAGCCCAGAACTTTCCAGACCTGGCCCCTCCCGGTATCAAAGGGGGAAAGAAGCTTAAGGCAGCACACTTCTCAATTTACATGTGCGCACAACTCCCCTGGGGATCTTGCTAAAATGTGATTCTGATTCAGTAGGTCGTGGGTAGGGCCTGAGATCCTGCAAGTCTGACCAACTTCCTGGCCCTGCTGCAGCTGCCATGGCATCCTATGAGAAGTGAGGTCTTAGAGCAGTGGTTTGTAAACTTGACCTTAAGTCAGATTCACCTTGAAGTCTTGGTAGGGGCCGCTGGGCCCTCCCCCTCCCCCCCCCCCCCCCCCCGACTTTCCGATTCAGTAGGTCTGGGAAGAGACCTGAAGATAATGCATTTCTGATCGTTCTCAGGTGATGGTAAGGCCGCTGAGGGCAGAGGGCCTTTATTTTAGAATCTCTTGCCCCACAAGCTTCTGGCCACTACTAAAGTCAAGCGGTTGGGGGTGGGGAGGATGGGCTGGATAGTAGAAATCATTAAACAGGGTGCCTGGGTGGCTCAGTTGGTTAAGCGTCTGACTTTGGCTCAGGTCATGATCTCATGCTTGGTGGGTTTGAGAGCCTGGAGCCTGCTTCGGATTCTGTGTCTCCCTGTCTCTCTGCCCCTCTCCTGCTCACGCTCTTTCTCCATCTCTCAAAGATAAATGTTATATATATATTTTTTAAAATAAGTAAGAAAGACAAGGTAAGGATGTCCTGACTCTTAAAGGATAGAAGGGAACAGAGGAGACCTCAGCGGCTCACATCTTCCTCTTTGGGATGCTTTCTCCCCAGACAACCCAGAGAGCCGAGGGAAGCCTGATGGCAGCAGCAAGGCTCGAAAGGAGAGGACAGCCTTCACCAAGGAGCAGCTTCGGGAGCTTGAGGCCGAGTTTGCTCACCATAACTACCTGACCCGGCTCCGGAGATACGAGATCGCTGTGAACCTGGACCTCTCGGAGCGGCAGGTGCAGCCCAGGGGCCCCTCCTCCTCCGGCCATCCCTTCTTTCCTCTGCTCTCTCGCCCCCCCCCCTACATCCCCCCACATCCCCCCACACCTCTCCTTTTTCTCCTCTCTGCCCAGTGCAGTGGTTCTCAACTGTGGCTCTACTGAGAATTACCCGCAGAGATCTGAATAACATTGATGTCTGGGCTTCACCCCTAGAGATTGTTTTCATTGGTCTGGGACATCAGAGTTTTTCAAAGGTCTTCTAGATGGTTCTCACAGGCAGTCAGGGCTGGAACCTCTTATCTGGTTATTCCCAAAGTGTGCATTGAAATCGTCTAGGCCCTTGCTTAAAATGCAGACTCAAAGGGGTGCCTGGCTGGCTCAGCCCAAAGAGCATGTGACTCTTGATCTTAGGGTCATGAGTTCAAGCCCCATGTTGGGTGCAGAGATTACTTTAAAAATCAAATTAACATCTCAAGGGTCACCTGGGTGGCTCTGTCGGTTAAGCGGTTAAGCGTCTGACTCTTGGTTTCGGCTCAGGTCACGATCTCATGGTTTGTGAGATTAAGCCCCACACCAAGCCCTGCATTGAGCCATGTGTCAGGCTCTGCACTAAAAGCGTGGAGTCTGCTTGGGATTCTCTCTCTCTCCCTCTCTCTCTGCCTCTCCCCCAACCGCTCTCTCTCTCTCTCTCTCTCTCAAAATAAATAAACATTAAACAAAATTTAAAAAGTCAAAAAAAAAAAAGGCAGATTTTATAACGCTGGAGAGCCATTTTGCAGTAATAATAAAGTGGGGCCAGGAATCTGCATTTCTAGTAAGTTCTTTAGCTGGTTCCTGGGCACACCCTAAAAAAAACTTCCTAGGCCTTTCATTCCGGGCTTTCCCTCAGAGCATTCCAGCCACACCCGTACTCTAACATGGCGTAAAGTCTTATAATAATATTTGATAGCAACTTTCAGTTGATGAAGGGCTCTGCTGGAGTGCTAGGTTTAGAAAGCTAAGATCAGGTCCTGTCTCTACCACTTTCTAGCCCTGTGACCTCTGGGATGTGTCTCCTAACCTCTCCAGGTCTCCATCTGTAAAACAGGGTCGTGACCACACCCTGCAGGCAGTGCTGAAACTCAGATGAGGGAGTAAGCAGCCCGGAGCTATCTAAACTGACTAGTGCTTCGTAAATGTCCCTGGGGAGGAGGGTGGTAATCCTCTGCTCCCAGACCCTTGGGTAACAGAAGCCGGAAGGAGGCGTGTTGCCACAGGAGGGGCGGGGCATGTGAAAGGGGGTGGGGCCAATGCCCAGTGCCTTTTAGACCCTGTCCCCAGACTGTCAGGCTTTCTTTGTCAAGAGACACAAGACAGGCCTCTGGACAGATTGATGTGTCCTCCCTGTCGTGTCAGTTCCTGGTGCCTCTGGAGGAGTGGGGCAGGGCAAGCAGAGGTTCAAGTTGGGGGTCCCTGGAACTACGACCTGCTGGCTCGAGCATCCATACAGGGAGGTAGTGGCACCTGCCTTGAAGTGACCAGGTTCCTTTGCTTCCTCCGCCAGGTCAAAGTGTGGTTCCAGAACCGAAGGATGAAGTGGAAACGTGTGAAAGGGGGTCAGCCTATCTCCCCCAGTGGGCAGGACCCAGAGGATGGGGACTCTGCCGCCTCTCCAAGCTCAGAGTGAGAGTCTCCGTGGAGGAACAAAAGACTGAGGACTGAGCCCCCTCCCCAACTACCCTCACCCCAACCCCACCTTCACCTTCTCCCACCCACCGCAGGGCCACCTCTCCACGTCTTGCAGTGACTCTTAAACCTGAAGCTGTCCAGCATTCCTGGAAGCCTTGAAGTTTCCCAGAAAGTTCTATCCAGTTTTGCTCTGCCCCAAGCCCTTGGCTTCCCACATTTCTTGCGGAATCCTACAGCAGCCTGACTGGACTGAACCCGAGCGAATCTGGGGAACAGCTCTGGGCACACCGTCGCTCAGGGTGTCTCGGCTGCTGCCCACACCTCCTGCTCCCACACCTCCTGCTCCCACCGTCCTCCTACACCAGCCAGACCTCCTCTCCAGGTCTGGACACCACCTGATCTGCTGGGAAAGGAGCCCTGGGACCAACTAGTGACCTGTGAAAGCAAATGTTCCAAAAGAAAGGTAACGACTAGGACACACGCACCCCCTGGACCACCCTTCCTTTCTGGGTTCCATATCTGAGGATATGGGGGCCTTCAGTTGCCCCCAAACCCCAGGGAGAGTCAGTGTGAGGAGGGTTGAGGACAGAAACTCAGTCCTCGTCTCCCAAATCTGTTGTCTGAGTGGCCAAGTTTATGACTGTCAGAAAACTGTCAGAAAAACAGGCTGGTGTAAGCGGTCCCCGCACCAGCCCGTTCGCGCTGACTTGACTGGGTGGCTGAGAACGGACCCAGGACAACGCTTCTTCAGAGTCCATTCAGGGATGCGGCTGGGACTGCTGAGCAGCTAGCTACTCCTTTTCAATCCACAGTTTTTGGACTGAAAACCTACCCAGACGCTCACACTATTGACTCGAGGGCTGGAAAGTGTCCCCTGTGTTCTGAGGATGAAGAGATCACTCTAGGGCCAGTGAGTGAGGACCTAGAAATGTGGATCCTTGGAGCGGAAGTATCCTGTGCCTTCAAAGGATGCTGTCTGCAAACAGGGACAGAAAAACAATCCCTCTTTCTCCATGGGATACATCGGAGCCCTTCTGATGTGTTCCACAATTGCTGTCATTATGGGAGGAGCTGCTAAGTTTATGTACGTGGACCGCCCAGATCTTCTGGGGTGACCCTCCGGGGACTGATGGCCAAACAGCCTGGGGCGACTGGAGCCTTCGAGAGAGACCTCGGCCTGCCTCGTACACTGCCTCCCAACACCAGCTGGTGTCGCAGAGGGAGGTCAGCAAGAGTTTGGAGCTCTTGTGTGTAGATTTAATCACTCACATGTAAAAAGAACCCCACCTCCCCATCCCGCAAGGACAGACGCTGGGGAAAATGGTTGCCAAATGAGATGGCTGGTTAGAGCATGTGTAATTTTTTTCTAAAGCATATTTCATATATTTTCTTAAGATGACATCAAGTTAACTGTGCAAGGTTAATTCACTTAGTAAGAAAACTCTTGGAGAAATAAAATCAATAAAAAAACAATGTTCCCGGGCCTTTTTCCTTGCAGAGCCACGCTCTCTCTGGGTGCAACCTTGTGATGCCCATGTGAGGCTCACCCAGACAATGTCTGGAAACAAAGAAAACGGGGAAGAAAGAAAGCACTGAGAATCAAGGTGCCCCCCCTTTAGGGTCTTCAAAATGTGGGGGTGCAAGTGTGATCGTTGTAGCAAAGAATGTTCTTCCATATGCAACCACATGGTCTCCATGTCCCCTTGTAAAATTTTAGCTGTCCGTGTCCCTAACCTGTGGCTTATAAAATCATTGAAGTTCTGTAAACAAAAGATGGGTTCTTTTGTTAATAAAGGAATCTTGACCATACGCTAAGCCCCCCTAACTTTTTTTAACACTCACTTATTTATTTTGAGAGAGAGAGGGAGAGCGTGAGTGGGCGAGAGACAGAGAGGAGGGAGAGAATCCCAAGCAGGCTCTGCACTGTCAGCGCATGCACCGAGAGATCACGACCTGAGCCGAGATCAAGTGTAGGACACTTAACCAACTGAGCCGCCCGGGTGCCCCAAGCACCCCTGACTTTTAAATTCAGAGTCTGGAAGTTTTTGTTTTCCGGGGTAAAACGATGCACACCAATAGTAATACAAATGCCACAAGAAGAATGGCCGTCGTCCTCTGTCTTTTTTAATTAAAAAAAGATTAGTTTCACCGAGGCGTCAACAATGCACAACGTAAGACTGGCTACAGAGAGGGGAGGGAGGGCGCCAAGAGAGGAGACCAGGCCAGGATTCAGTCTTGAGTCAGTCTGGACCCAACGTGGGCATTGACCAGAAATGACATCATCAGGAGCTGGCAGAGGAAAGCAGACCAAAATCAAGATGCCAAAGAAAAGGTTCAGGCTCAAAGACAAGCAAAACAGACATCCTCGGGCACTCCAGCGCCTCCCCCCACCGCCCCAACTCTACTCCAGGGGCTTCAGAGGATATCAGCCTGTCCTGTTTTTCCTGGTCTCTCCAGAATGTGCCTTCTCTGTCTCCCACGCAGACCCCTTTCTCAGTTCTTTTGCCCCTACTGCTGGTTCCCGAGCTTTGCTCCTTCGCCCACTGCCTTCCTCACTCTTCACGCTCTGCCCAGATGGTCCCATCGGCCTACATTTTTTTTTTTTTACCAAGGTAAAATATGGGCAACATAAAACTTTAACCATTTTTAAGCATACGGTTCTGTGTCACTAAGTACCGTCCCGTTGTACAATCATTGTCACTATCCCTCTCCAGAACTTTTTCATCTGCCCAAACTGAAACTCTGTGCCCACTAGAAAAGAGCTCCCCTTCCCTCCTCCTTTCCATCCACCTACATTTATACAGCGTTTACTCTGTGCTCCGTTGGGCACTGTTCTAAGTGCTTTATGTAACAATCCTAAGAGATAGTACCAGTGCTCCCGTTTTACTGATGAGGTAACAAAAGCAGGGAGAAGTTGAGTAAACCGCCAAGGTTTTATAGCTGTTGGTGGTTGCGGAAGAGCGTATGATGGGCCCAATTATTTTCTCCCGTCTCCACTAGGGGAATACGGCTCTCTGATCATGGCCACATGCTGTACCTCCCATGGGAAGAGTGTATTTCCCCACTTCATTGACCTCAGGCTTTCCGTGTGGCTGACTTTGGCCAATAGAATGTGAGCAGAGGGGCTGGGTGCCCGGGCTAAGCAGAAGTTTTAGAGTCGCTGTGCGTCTCTGCCATTGCTTTTTTCCCTCCGCACAAGGCTGGGTTGAGGGTTCCACCACGAGCCTGGGTTCCGGGATGAGAAAGATGTGGAACAAAGCCAAAGTCGACCCACAACTTTCATATGCGTCAGCGAGGATTTACAAGTTTATTGTAAGCCATTAAGACGTGGGGATCATTTGTCACTGCTGCACCACGTTGTGAAAACTGACCACCAGTGATGAAGCTGGGATCTGAATCCAGGCATTCTGGGACCGGGCCAACACACCTCTACTGGGATCTGGGAGCTTACGTTTTCATATTCTACTCCCTATTGCTTATACCACCTGGGTGACTACAGGTTTCTCCAACTCAAAATATTTAAGGGAAAATCTCCATTTCCCTGATTTCTGTACTCAGTATTCTGTATTCTAAACCCTCTATTTTAGTTAGTGACACCACAACCTACCCATTCCCTCATGCTAGAGACCTGGGACACCTTGTTAATACCGCCTTGCTTTGAGGAGCCCGTCAATGACCAGTTCTTGCTCATTTCACTTCCTGTGTAGGTAGGTACTCCTCATTCCCACGGTGCCTTCTTCCCACCACCCCTGCCTTTGTCCAGGCTGTCCACAATGTGAATGAAAGCCTCCAGGAGCTCTCCCTCCTTCTGATCTGAGACTCCTCAAAGTCCATCCCCTAAAACAATCACACACACGCACACACACACACACACACACACACACACACACACACAATCTAACTTTGTCACCCGGATTTTAAACCCACCAATGACACACCATCACCTACAAAATAAAGTTCAAAACCCTTCACAGGCCTCCAAGGTTCCCATGCTCTGGCCCCTGCCTCCCTTTACCTACCTCATCCTACCACCCCTGCCACAACACCAAACCTCTCACCCTTCTGTATGCACACACTAGCTCTGCGTGTGATTTCCCTCCTACCTTCCTTTGCCCATTCCCTTCCCAAGGACTTAGGCATCCAGGAGCCCTTAAGGAGGCAATTGGAAAGGAACACAGAGCAAGTGTTAATGTGGAAACATGGCCCAACTAATTTTCAACGTCAGGCAGCAACATTAACCAATTTCTAAAATCAGTAGGAAAAAAGGTCTCTTTCAATGCGAGAATTTAAATTTCCGCCATCAACACGGTTAAGAAGGCTGTTGAGGAGAGTCTTACGGAGGAACTAAAGGTGGATGCACACGTCAATCAAGGGTTTGCTGATTTCTTTGGAACGCTCCCTGCTCTCCTCCCACGGTTCAGCATTGGCATTTGAATGACCAGCGAACAGTAGCTGGGACCGGCTGCTCCTCAAGTGAGTAAAAATCCTCTGCTTTGTCTTGGGTGCAAAGCTGTGCAAGAGAAGCAAGGCCACCCACCGGCGACTCCCTGATGTGAACCAGTGACTGTGACAGAGATGGCGGCTTGGTAGGAATCCTAACGGCCAAGAATTCCCATACAGTAACTTTTCAGTAATGGGTTTCTTCAACCTTGAGCGAGCATCGAGGACGGATGAGCTGGTGTGTGGCTGCCCTTCAGAGAGAGGCAGAGAGAAAGCGGGAAGGGGAGCAAGTAGGGGATCCATTTCCAAGTGAAAGGAGCCTCGGCTGGGCTCAGGGCCTCAGATATCTGCCCTGGGATGGACGCATGCATGGCTCTTCCGTTCAACAAAAAGAATGGGGGTCAGGCAGGGATCCACTCTTTCCTGTCTGTACCCCTAAAGCACTATACTTCCAGCAACCAGAAGAGCTCACAGTGGGTGGCTTCCTTTCCTTCCATTGAATGGACATATTTTCCATCGAAAGCTGTATATTCTCAGCCAGGCAGTGGCACCTGGGCCAGCTAATCCCTTACAATTACCAACGCAGCAGTTGCCAATTGTGACCTCTCTTGGCCACCGCAGCACGGGGCTGTCACTATGTTCCTTCTCTCACTGCGTGTACCCTCCCATTCCCTTTGCTGTAAACCCTGAATAGACCCCTTCAAAGATATCTTGACACCCCTCTCCATACCCTCTCCACACCCTTCTCTACTGTCACATCATCCCTGGTCACCACCACCCTTTTATCTCTGTCTTCCCACCTGTGTTTGTTCCTTTATGGCTATTGCCATGATTTATGATTCTTGTGTTTGGTGTTTACTTATTCATTTGTAGTCTGGTTTCCAAGCTGGAGGGAGGAAAAGGGAGTGTGTTTCTCTTCTAGCTGCTAGCATGATGCCCAGCACATAATAAATGCTCAATAGATAGTTATTGCACGGATGGACCGGTGAGTGCATGGATGGGTGAGTGGATGGATGGATGGATGGATGGACAGATGGGTGGATGGATGGGTGGATGGATGGATGGATGGATGGACAGATGGGTGGATGGGTGGATGGATGGATGGATGGACAGATGGGTGGATGGATGGGTGGATGGACGGATGGACAGATGGGTGGATGGATGGGTGGATGGACAGATGGGTGGATGGATGGGTGGATGGACGGATGGATGGATGGATGGACAGATGGGTGGATGGATGGATGGATGGATGGACAGATGGGTGGATGGATGGATGGACAGATGGGTGGATGGATGGATGGATGGATGGGTGGATGGATAGATGAGGAATTGTTAAATTAGTGGTATCACCTGGCTCCTTAGCTCACAAGTGCCCATTGCTGGCCACATAGCCCACGTAGAGGAAGCTGTGGCCCAGAAGTGGGTTAGACTGGCTGGATGGATGCAATCCAGGCTTTCTGAGACCACCAAGTCCAACACGTCATGCCAAAAGAGGGACACTGGACACCCACCCTGCTTCTGTGGCCCCACGGAACTATCTCTGATTCTAGCCAGAGGACCAAGATTCTCTGTCACTCACTCCCCCACTCCTAGCCCTGAGCCCTGTCTGAAGTCTAAATGAACTTCTCCTCTTTAACCTACAATTGGCATCCCGGCCTGGCCTCTGACAACAGCAAGTTCAGAGCCATGCCCGATAAGAGCCCGGTGAGCAGTTCACGCTCATTTCTGAGGGTGATGCCTCATAGCTTGAAGGTGACATCAGGGTCGGGACTAATATCCGATTGAACAGAAAGAGACATGACCTAACTCGTCTCTCACCGTGGGCCTGGCTGCAAGAGCTTCTCTTTCTTTATTAATTTCCTAACCGGAGCTGCTGGCTCAGGCCTCCAGCCTGTCCCCAGAGCTGGGGCCCATGACTGGGCTTAACTCCAGTGTTATTGGGAAGGGAGCAGGCTCAGCTGGGTCTGAGAGCCCCCAAGAAGAGCCGTACTCATCTTGGCTAGAGCCCTCTGGTCGGATTTCTCTACCATCCAGCAGATTTACCACGCTTTGAGAAAAGCCACTAGGGCAAATTCAAAGTCTATAAAGAATCCCTCACGGACTGGAAGAAAACGTGCTGCGGCCTTCCATCAGGCCGCAGGCTTTCCCCAGTGCCTATAAAGGATGGTTTTATTTGTGTTTTGAAAAGTGATTTAAAACCAGTTTTCCAGGAACACAAATCCTGTCTCAAGCACCCGCGCACCTGGTTAGAGAGCAGCAGGCCTGCGTCTGAGCTGGCCGCCGGCCCGGTGGGACCACGTTCTCTTCACGTTGTTTTCCTTTAGTAGTCTCTGCATTGCCGGAGGAGGAGTCCCTCCCTCCTTATCACC